TTTTCTCCATATACCCAAGGCATTCAAGAGTGGGTTCATCACTTGAAATCTGTGCTTTCCTGGCCCAGTGCTTCCAGAGGGGTATTCAGTGAGGCAGCCCCTGGCTGACAGTGACACCCTGACCACGACAGGTTTTCAGACAGAAGGACAAGAGCAATAATTGGGTTTCACAATTAGACTTGTTGACTCCACTTCTGTGGCAGACTTTTTTTTCCCCTTGAAAAAACCCTGCTGGTTTATGCTGAAGACAGTTGATCTTTAACAAGACAGCAAAGGATTGATACAGCAGAATTTTGCAGAGCCTGAAATAGCTGCCAAATTCAAGAGGCTGTTGGGAAATGAAAACCAACAAACACAGACCTCTAAGGAAAACCTGGTTTTGTTAAACAAGGTCACACTGTCTTTTTGGTTTTTTCCTTCCTATTCATTTTTTCTTACATGTTCCTACACCTGCAGATATCTCCTTCTGGAGACCAAGTACCAGCTTTTCCATGTTCCCCTTTGGAATTCTACAGTATTTCTTCTGCAGGAGCAATTAGTATTTGCTGTTGTTTTAAAAGAAAAACCCTACAGAAATAAAGGAAAAGTATGACTCACTGAGAGACCAATAATTAGGTCATGTGTTCAATTAGTTTTCATGCTTAAGTAGTTACTCTTTAGGAAATGCTCCCCCTTTGATGTGCAGCAGCAACTTCCCAATTAATTAGGCAGAAAAAAGCAATGAAGGAATGAAACCTCAGACACCGAATCAAAGCCCAGAGATCTCTAATGAGGGGAACAACAGCATCAACAACAGACAACATGCACTAAAAGGTAGAGGCTTTCAATGATCCACTTCAAGTATCTTGGCTGTACTTCCTTTGAAATTAAGAGAAAACTGTTGGGAAGCAGACTAGAAGAGAGGGAGAAGCAGCCTGTTTGATCAGAAAATCACTGTTTCCTTGAAGGCCTGCCACAAAAGAGATAATTTATCCATATTGTGGGAGATGTGCCCTCAGAGACCATCACTCACTGGTGCAGACAGGAGGCAGCACACAACGGGTGAGACTGGATCAGAGAGAAATGGGAAACCCCTTTCTTCACCACCTGCCCAAGGAACAGCAGCAGAACTGCCACGTTCCAGCTGCAGGCATTCCCAAACACCAGGACTTGCTTTCAACCAGCCTTCCCAAAGGCTTCCTAAAAGTTTATTTAATCTTGTCTTCTAGATTTCCCCAGTCCTTTCCCCCTGCAGGATTTTCATCCCTCTTCATGGCTCACAGATCTCCCTCACCCCAGGGATGCCCATTCAGGTATAATCCATTCAGCTCTAATGAAATCAGCTCCTTCCAGAAGAGAATTAACACAGCCCCAACGACTCTCTTAGCGAAAAAGGAGGAAATTGAGAGAAGAAAAAGGGAGGCAAAACTGTAGCACTTGAATTAAAAAATCAATACAGTAATAGACTTTGTTTTATGTAGGCAAGTGGGTGTAAGGGGAGGATTCTTTGGGATGTGATGCTTCAGTCCCTTGGCCTTGCTGGTGGTTGGTGCAGAGGGGAGTGCTGATGGCAAATCACTGCTTTGGGGTCAATCTTACAGAGCCCCAAACCCCTCACACTCCATTCAGCTGCTTCTCAGAGGATGCTAAAACCCCACATTCTACAGAAGAGGTGCCCTTCAGCTGGAAGGTCTCTGTACAGAAGATCCCAGTGCAACAGCTCAGCAGGAGCCATGCAGGAGCTGAGTGTCTGCATCCTTCTCACCTCTCCTAGGAATGGTTATGAACTGCAGATTTTGGCCTTGCTGGCAGGACTGGGAAAGCTCATCGGAGAATAAAGGACAGGATTGCAAAAAGCAGCTGGTGCAGGAATGCCACTGGGATCTCTGCACCAGTGAAATCCCAACAGAAGCAGCAAAATGACTGAGGAAGGAGGAAAAAGCCCTGTGAGTGTTCTGGTCAGTTTGGAGTTAAAGGGAGAACCTGGCCAAAAGCCAGACCTAACAAAGAGGAAAAAAAATCTATAATTTCATGCAAATTTAATAAGCATATGGTCCAGACTACTTCATAGCAGGTCCTGAATTATGTAAAGTGTGCCTCATGCAAGCCCAGCCTTTGGCTGCACTGCACACCCACAGGATGGAGGCACAGGGCACTGGGCTGGGCTGGGCAGGGCATGGCCAGCAGGAGAACAGGGGAACAAAGCCAGGCAGCAATTCCACCCCTGCCTCATCCCTCAGGCTCTGTACAGGGATCAGTGCACACGGGGTGCTTCACACACAGCTCTGACAATCCCAGCCTGGAGGGTGCAGGAACTCAGTGCTCCAGAGAGCAGAACACCTTCAGCCAGCTCTGCAGGGCTGCAGCACAGGGACAGGACACCATGCTGCCCAGCCAGCTCTGCAGGGCTGCAGCACAGGGCCCAGCCCCACTGCCAAACTGGGGCTTGCAGAGCAGTAACTCCTGCTCATAAAAATCCCCACGAGCTCCTGCATCCCCATAAAGCATCCCACTGCAGCAGCACTGGCAGCTCACAGTCCACCAGCCCTGTTTGCAAAGGCTCCTGACTCTTCAGCCAAGGCTAGTCCCTGCCTTTGCAGTGGCACAACGTGCAGTGCTGCCAAGAAAACTGAATTTACACCCCAACAACAGGGAAAGGTTTGCTGCTCCCTGCCTGCACAGCAAAGCTGTGCTCTGGCTGGGCACCTGCCACAGGGCTGCACCTCACACAGGCAGGGTTCTGCAGGGGCACTGAAGGGGGTCAGCACCAGATAAACCCCATTTCAATATTATTACCTAAATGTTTTAAATACACGGCTGCACCTCACACAGGCAGGGTTCTGCAGGGGCACTGAAGGGGGTCAGCAGCTGAGAAATCCCATTTCAACATGATCAATTCCTTATCTAAGTATGTTAAATACAGGGCTGCACCTCACACAGGCAGGGCTCTGCAGGGGCACTGAAGGCGGTCAGCACCAGATAAACCCCATTTCAACACAATTCCCTAAATATTTTAAATACAGGGCTGCACCTCTCACAGGCAGGGGTACTGAAGGGGGGCAGCAGTAGAGAAATCCCATTTCAACATGATCAATTCCTTATCTAAGTATGTTAAATACAGGGCTGCACCTCACACAGGCAGGGCTCTGCAGGGGCACTGAAGGGGGTCAGCAGCTGAGAAATCCCATTTCAACATGATCAATTCCTTATCTAAGTATTTTAAATACAGGGCTGCACCTCACACAGGCAGGGGTACTGAAGGGGGTCAGCAGTAGAGAAATCCCATTTCAACATGATCAATTCCTTACCTGAATATTTCAAATACAGAGCATGCCAGCAGCCTCCCACAGAGACTCCAGTTATTTTATTCTGGGCAATTCTGTCTCGGCCAAGGCTCCCCTTTCCGGGTGCTCCACCAGCAAACCCCAGCTCCTGCAGGCATTCCCTCCATCCCCTCCCCAGTGCCCGCAGGGTCCTGGGCACAGCAGCAGTCCCAGGGAAGGTTTCCCCTCTCTCAGGCATTACCGGGTCCTGGGCTCTTCACTTTCACTCCCTTCTCTCCTTCCATTCTTAAGCAGCCCCTTTGATCCCTGTAATTGAGCCTCTTTCCAGATTACCCTCAGGTTTAACCCCTTCCCTGCCCAGTAAAACTTAAGCCCCAGACCCAAGGGGGTGTTAGTCTAGAGCTGTCTCGATTTTCCTTCCACTTTTTCACCAGCATCCCAATTTTATCTGCACTGAATTGCAAGAACTCGGTACTTGTTCAGAAAACTCCTTATCAAGACAGATCGAGTCCACAGCTCTGTCATCTCCTACCCTCTCCCCCAGTACAATCTTCATTTGAGAACTGCATGAAATGCCTGAATATTGCTTAACTGCAGGATTTTGCAGAGGAAACAACAGCTGAAGTGGTTTCTACTCCCGCAGCACACAAATTTATGTAGCTACACAACAATAAAGCAAAGTCTTAAATTTAATCAGAACAAATACTTCAAGCAATGGCAAGCTGATAAATTATTTAGAAAGGGGCTCAATAAGACCTGGAAGGAAATATCCATCAGCTGTGCAGCCTGGGAGCTTCCAGAAACAAGGAATTTTCATGCTTTACCCTTTGTGCAGTTTTCTTTCAGAAAAGCTGTTTGTACTGAGCACAAAGGGGGATGTTTGAACAGAAGGACTGGCTGGCAGTGATGGCACAGGGCTGGTCACACAGTGGTCACCACTACCACCACCCAGGGGTGCAGTTAGCACCCCTTGTGCATTCCCAACAAGGTGCTGAGGCAGCAGCTCCAGCGGGGAATATCAGCTATTTCAGAAGATTGTTATGATTTGTTCTTTTCTCCAGACTGCCCGGTTTTCCCCAAATTGTCTCCCTTCCATCAACTCCTCAACCATTCCAAGCCCCCAAGAAACAGACAAAACTGGATGTATTAGTATTTATATGAAAGCTCTAGGAAATTCAATAATGCTCCTATTGTTTTATTGCAGATGGCACACCAACTTCTCTTTATTACTGCAGAAAGCTCCAGAGCCCTGTGGAGTGCAATAAACCAGGACGTGTTTGGCTTTGCAATGTGGCAGGGGCTGTGCTTTCCTGCAGGAACCAGGGAACCAGCCCAGCTCTGGGATTGCCTCCACCAGGCCCACGCAGGGAACCTGCTGCTCCTGAGCTGGCCCTGCTCCCCCAGCACAGGACTCTGCACAGAGCACAGAAAATGGGCTGGTTTCACCTTTGCTCCAAGATGCTTTTTCTTCTGTTTAATTCCAGACACTTTTTGAATTTTCTGTGAAATTCTCGTGCTGTTGAGATTTAAAAATTGTCAATGTGCCGTGAGGAAAAACGCAAAAGGGAAATTCTCTTAACTGAACACGAATATCTGCCATAAAAGCTCCAAGACATAAACACCCTTGGAAAGCCTTGAGAGAAACGCCCCAGGCTGGGTGGAGGGGAGGCTCCAGCCCTGGAGCAGAGAGAGCCCAGGCTCACAGGCAGGGGAGCCCCAGGAGCAGCCAACACTCACCCTGGGCTGCCAGTTCTCATACTGCTTCTGCAGGTTGGCCCCGATGGTCTCCAGAGCTTTCTGAGGCCCCATGGACAGAGGATCTGGAACAGAACACACAGCAGCAGTTTCAGCCCACTGCATCACCCAGGGACGTTTTCATGCAGGTTCCTTTCATCACCAAACTCACTAACAGCTTGTTCCTCCTGGAATTTACCTGGGGGCAGCACCCAAAAATTATCCCCAAATTCCTCAGTTCAACAAAAATCCAGCTCCATTACAGACTGTCACATCTGGAAAATTTCTCTCACTGAGGTGCTAAACACAATTTTGTTTTGAAAGACAGGAGAGGCACTGCATTTGTTTCTTTTAATAATGAAATAAGGTTTCTATTGTAAATAATGACAAGAACTCAAATTGGTTAAATATTTGATGACAAACATTTTCTGTTGATGAATGCAAAATCCTGCTTCATTTACTTCCTTTGCTTCCTGCTGCAGAGATTGTGTGCCATTTGTAATATTTAAGAAGTTAATTTTATTGCTAGATAATTACGACAATCCATACATAGCAATACAATTCCAGGCCATGTGCTTTATTCAAACACCATGGACATATAATTAAACAATTAACAAGTTTTTGTAAAAAAAAATAAAACAAGCTAATATTTTCCTATCTAATATAAATTATTTTAAAATCACTAAACCAAATCAGTGAAGGTTTTTTTTCCCAGTTTTTGCAAATATACTTTTGATAGAAACAGAATGTAATAAAGCAGGATGAAAGCAGGATTTTGAGTTATTTATCTTTAATGAACAAAAGCACGTGGAAGGTGCAGCAGCAGCTGCACGTGGCTCTGCTCAGTGGCCATTTGTCACCAGGGGTGACCAGCCCTGACCCCAGCTCAGGTGTGAACAGCAGCAACTGCACCCCAGAGTTCCCCAGAGCCTGCACATGTGGCACAGACATTTCTGCACCCCCCACTCCCTGCTCCTGAGACTGATGGCACAAAAAACATCAGATATTTCCCCAATCACCTTCTTCAGAAATTTCAAGTTGGCTGGAAGTGGAAGGAGCATTTGTGTACGTAAACAAACTGAAAATTTAATTACAAAACTGCATTCAAAATTCTCTTTGCTAATGATAGGCACTAATGACTTTATTTAAATGACTCTGCAATGCTCCTCTGCTCGTGTATCAATGAGACATCAGGGCTGTTCTCTGCTCTCAGGCACCTGCTTGTGCCTGCCCAGGCTTTCATCAGCGTTTCCAGGTTAAAAATCTGAGATGCTGTGATTCACAAAGCAGGTAAGGCAGGGTTAGGAACCTGCTGGAAGTTTTTTAAGAGATTCTGTTTGTGCAGGGTTCAGTTTGCCCCTGGGAGCTGAGGATTACAGTGCCCAGTGTGGGACGTGCTGCAGGCTGAGCATTCCCAATTCCTAGAGAAAAACCAATCCTGAGAAAGCTTCTGTACACAGGACATCTCCTTCTCATATTACTTCAGAATTGTGTCATCTTCATAATTGGACTTTTTTCTCCAAAACCAAGGGAACTTTTAATTTCTTCACAAAAACCCTAGGAATTTAGTGCAATGCTGCATGAAAGCAGCAAACCCAGGTGTTGGAACTGCTGGCAAAACATCCTTGGGAATAATTCCAGGTCTTCTGAATGATTCCAATTAAAACAGCCCCAGAGCAGCCACCTCAAAACACAGCAAGGTGTTTCACAAAGCTCACTGCTCTGCTGGGTGAGGCAGGGATTGAAAGCTCTGCAGATCCCAGCACTCTGAAGGGGTCTCTGCTCAGAGATTTCCTTCAGGTATTTATAAATCTAAAACAATTACAAGAAAGCAAAGCAGCTCATTAACAGCTGTTTTTCTCCGTGGTATCTCATTTCAGAACACAGCAGGAGAGGTGACCCATGGCAGCAGTTGGAGCTGGACTCTTCATTAACCCAGAGAAAAATCAGATCTCACATTTCCTTCTGCTCAGCCCAGTTTCAAGCCCTGGGAAAGCACAATTTTGGGATGAAATCTGTGCTGTGAGACCCAGGGCAGCCTGGGGCTCTGGGGACTCACCAATCCAGCACTCCAGGCGGGCACAGGGAGTTGTTTTCACCACATCTGGGGGGTCCACGCCGACGTTGAGGCACAAAACTAAGGCAACACTTACAGTCTTCATCTGCAAAGACAACACCACAGCCTTAGAGCAGCAACAGCAACGCCCTGGCCTCCAAAGTTCACCTCCCAGAACTTCTGCAGGGCTTTAACCAACCTCTCCTACCTGCTCTTGCACGTGGACTATTTTTAAGCAAGGCCTGACTGATGAAATTTTTCATATTTTTTATTAGAACAGTACTCAGACTCCATGTTACTATTTTTGTTATTATTTCCAGAGCCCATTCTTCTCTTTCTGAGCATGGAAATGGATACCAGTGAACTTCAGCTACTCATCTTAAATTAGCCATTGTCCAACTGAAACACATTATTAAAACATGAGGCAATGCTATTCAGGGCCCCTGACCAATATTATAATGCAGTGTGTGATCTCTAATATTGAAACTAAAAGAATTACAATGGAAAAACCCCAAGTGACAAACAAAACCATGAAATAATTAAACAAACAAACCCACACCAAAACAAAGATATTTAGTGCATTTTTTATTTTGTTTTCTTCACGTGTTGGGTTTTCTTGGAGAGCCCTGTAAGGAGGAATCCTGGCTCCAGCTGCTGCTCCACATGGGCTTATCCCACCCAGGCACCACAAACCCACCCAGGCTCACCTGGGACCCAAAATCTGCATTAAACCAGTGACAAACCACCTTGGCCAGCTTGAACATACTGCTTGAAAATTATCCCTTCACATCTTTATGGCTTTTTTTCCTAGATTCCCTCATGCCTACCCCTAAACCAGAGGGGGAAACAGAAGCAGTGACGAGGCTCTCAGTGATTCCAGGCATTCAGGGCTTGCCTGCAGCAAGGCCACCCACATCCCCACCTCCCCAGGGTGCTCCATGCAATCCACAACAGTAGGGGAAAAAAATCCCAAATTTCACACTTAGAGAAAACCCTAGAGCCACATAAATGTGGAATTTATCCAGAAACTGGAGCAGCCAGACACCATTCACAGGCTCTACACCAGGACAGAAATCCTGCAGCATTTCCTCACTCCCATGGCCATGAGGGGAACATGGAATAAAAAATCAGCAAGAACTGTGGTTTATGGCTTCATCCCAAACCCTGCTCTGGCTACCAAACCTGCAATCCTGTAGGAGCTCCTCGTGCCAGGAATCACCCAGGGCTAAGCAACACTCTGCAGCACAGAGATGGAAACAGGAGCCTGGGCAGGAATTGCCTGATCAGCCTTTGCCCATGGATGGGGTGGAAGCCCAGAGCTGCAGTTCAGCACTCAGGACACGTGTCTTAGGCCACTTTGTCACCGTTAGGGACATCCCAGAAAAAGCAGAGCCACTGGCAGAACCAGGGGCAGCTGCAAGGTGCAGCCCAGTCCTGCAGACCCTGAGTGCCCCGAGCAGCTCAGAGTGCCATGGAGCACCCAACACCATCACCCAAAAGCACCTGGGCACTGCACAACCCCTGCCCTGCCCTCAGGGACACCTCCCCAGACAGCCCAGGCACTGCCAGCTCCCCAGGGAAGCCAGGGGGCTGCAGGGGTGGGAGGGCATGAGCACTGCCAGAACCATCCCACACTGCCACACACACTGAACAGCCCAGGGAAACACAGAAAACTACACACAAAATGACTTATTAGACATGGAAACACATAAATCATTCTTGCAAGAGAAAGTATCCTGCCAAGCAATCTTCTCCATCTCATTTATTTATTGTTTCCCATTTGCAGTCTAATACTGACTTATTTTTCAGTATTTTGCTGGTAACGTCTGATTGGTGGCTTATGCTGAACAGGCTGATATTTATTTTTCATTCCCAGGTTCAGACTTTTAAATAAGTGTTTCTCCTGGAAAACTGACAGCAAAGCCATGAGAGGAACAGGAATTGATCCCAGAGACAAATGGGGTGATTTCCCCTCTGCACCTCCCCTGCAGGATGGAAAGCCTTGCACTCCACACTGGTTGCTCTGCATCAGGAGCACACCCTGAGAGCCACAGCTCATCCCTCTGCCCTCTGGCCACTCCTCACAGGGAGGATTTTTTTCTCAACCTCCCACCAAGCCCTGCCCTCTGGCAGTGGGAGCCATTCCCTCTGTCCTGGCACTCCATCCCTTGGAAATTCTCTCTCTCCACGTTTCTTGTCAGCTCCTTCAGGCCCTGCAAGGCCACACCGAGCTCACCCCAAAGCTCCTCCTGCCCAGGTGAGCAATGCCAGCTGTGCCAGCCTTTCCTGCCAGCAGAGCTGCTCCATCCCTGGCACCATCCTGGAGCCTCCTCTGGGCTCTGCGGCAGCTCCAGGTGCTGCCTGAGCTGGGGCAGCTCTGCAGGTGGGGTCTGACCTGAGGGGCAGAGGGGACAGTCCCTGTCCCTGCTGCCCACGCTGGGCTCAGCCCAGCCTCAGCAGGGGTTTGGGGGGACAATGCAGGTGACTGATCAAAAAAAAAAAATCCCCTGAGCCCAAAAATCCCAATAATGCTTTTCCCATTTCTAAACTCTTTTGGAACACACCAGAAACTTCACTGCATATTTAAAGGCTCCTAATACAAGCAGCACGAGGACATTCTCATCTGTCATTAGGACAGTGGAAATTTTCTTTCCCCCGTTTCAGGAGAATATCCATCAGAATACATTTCCATGGATTTTTGTTGGAATTAAAAAATGAAGCAGGAGAACATTTGGCAAGTTTGTAAGAAAACCAATATCCAAAATGCCTTGTCAGCAAAGGCTCAAGATCAAACCACAGCAGCTCTTAGTGTGGGCTCTGCACTTTGGAGTGTCATTTGTATGTTAAAAAATGGGCTACAACTCCCCAGCTTGTACTGCATCCGATTTCAAGTGATTTAATAACGCTGGGTCAGAACCTGCAATCCTTAAATGGCAAAATGCACTCGGTCAAAATGCTCTTCCTGAGAAGTGATGGCAGAGAATTCATCCCAAAGCCATCAGAAATGGGACTCAGGGAGCAGAGGGAGTTCTGAGTCTGCTCAGGGACAAGCTGCTTATTAAAGCATTTGACACTAAAATTTACATCTTATGCTAAAGACCTTCTAAAATATTCCCAATTCACCTCTTATTTCATTTAGAGGCAAACACATCTGCAGGTGAGTACAGTGCAATATCTGCAGGTATTTTCAGTAGGAAAAAACCATTATGTTGTGGGTTTGATTGAAAATGTGACGTTTCATCATCCCAGGGAGCCTACCTGATCACACTGGAGCACCCCTGGCAGTGACTCCAGGCCAGGCTGAAACCAAGACACCATTTACTGCAGCCTGAGTGAGACCAGGTCTGGAACTCAGAGCCACAGAACTGCTTTATATTCTAGTTCAAGTAATACCAAGAACAAGTCAGTGCATTTATGAGAAATTCTGCATTTTGTGGTACATCTCAGACTGGACGTTTTAGACCCCATTAATATTTGATTTTTACACTGCAATTTGCAAGCTGAAAACTTTCTGCTTAAACATTACCCAGATGAACACTCAAGTGTTAGAAACCTGCCTGGGTTTATGCCAGAGAGTTCAAATTGCTTCTGGGAGTTAATACAAACACAAGATTAAGTCAGCATTAAACATGAAATATAGGTGGCTACATTATTTGACAGAGCTGAGGATGAACTTACCAGCATTAAACACAGATCCTGGGACAAATTTCCAAATTCCAAACCCTTGTGTGAATCTCATTTGAAAACCCACCCTGGCCAGGAGGCTCAATTTCCTCTTTGTGCAGGAAATTCACTCCCTCCTTGAAGCCTTGTTTTTTTTCACGTTTTTCTCTACCCACATTTACAGATTTAACACAAATCTCTTCCCCAGCAGGTGTTCCTCAGGTAACTCCTGACTGTGGGCTCCTTTGGAGACCTGCCATGAGATGTTCCATCAAGGAGGTCTCCAGAGAGAGCAGGAACAGCAACATTGACAGGAGGAAACATTGTTCTCCCTTGAGCTCAACAACAGCAGAGGTTGCTGTTTGCTCTTTGCCAACCTTCCCTTTGTTTGGGCTCCCAGCTGAGAGGTGACAAGGGGTGACATCTGTCCTGCATCATCCCAGGGGGCTCTGGCACCACCTTCCACTGAGGAACAGTGGAAATCAGCCTGAAATCAGAAAAGGCTGAAGGTTCTGAAATCAGCCTGAAATCAGAAAAGGCTGAAGGTTCTGAAATCAGCCTGAAGAGGTATTGAACAAACCAAGCCTTGCCCTTGCACTCCATCACAGCTGCACACAGAACCCATGCCAGGCTCCTGAAGGAATGGTTCCCTCCAGATCCCACCTGGACACGACTTTCCCTCACCCAGGAGAACACAGCTCCTTCAGCTCCTGCACCACTTGCAAGGTAAAGCATCTTAAAAGAAGATCTTTCAGTTTCAATGAAAATTTTTTTTAATGTAAAGTTTAAGATAAATAAATTAAGGAAAAAAAATCTCCGTGCGCTCCTCCACAGCAAGGGAAGCAGCAGAATGCAAAGAACTCCTTCGAGTTAGCATTAATAATTCAACAGCTCTGCAGGTTGTCTCCAGCCATCTGCAGCCCAGAGTTGGTTCCTGGTGTGCCAGCCTGCTCCAGATTCCTCGATCAACTCCTCCTGAGGGCTTGGTTTCCTTCTCTCACCTCGGAATTCAGCACTACCACTCTGAATTTTCCTCAGGGGTTTACTGTGCCCAGCGAAGGCAGCTCCTGCCCACAGCTCCAGCTCCTCACAAAGCCCACTCTGAGCTGCTGTCCTCAGGGTGCCCTCAAGCCCTTCCCAAGCTCCTGGCTGAGTTCCTGCTGTCACTCACTGCCCAGGTATCCACAGGCACTTGCTCTGGGAACAGCTTACAGCTGCTCTGTGTGACAGCAGTGACATCCAGGGGCACGCTGTGGCCCAGGGCCCTGGGAGATCCAAGGGGTTACCCACTGTGGTCCAGGTTAAAACTCCAGACTGGAGCAGGCTGATCCTGCTGTCACAGCACAGCAGCCAAGCACTGCTTTCCAACCACTCTGGGATGCTTAGAACCAAAGTGGGCTTTCCTTCCCTGTCAATCCCTTCTTAAAAATAATGAAAAGAATA